CACATACAGACACAGTATTGTTTCACAAGAATGTGGCGACAAGCATTCCCATCTCCTCTAGAAATTTAGCACTTGCAAGTGCTTTGCCCATGTCGTATGTAGCAGACATCTACTAGAAATCATTTAGACATATAAGGCCTGTTTGGTTTTTAATTCTGAAAATAGATTTTTATTGTATAAAAGACTCTGTTTGGTTCAGTTCGGTTTTCTGAAAATTATTTGAAAATTATTTTATGTTCTCTGACTTATTGAGAACTGTTCACTTCAAAATTTCTATTTTAGAAGTTGTGAGTGCTGAAGTGATACCAAGTGATTAAATAACTCTTTTGTCCTTTTTATGAAAACCATTTAAGTTTTTGGGCCAATACATTTATCATAGAGCACAGAAAATTATTGGATTTAAATTTCAAACCCGGTCCTTAATTCATTTAAATCCCTAGAGTTGAACTTTCGAATCAAATGCAGCAACAAAAATTACTTTGCAAGAATTCTAACTCTCATTTACCATGGTCTTGAACTTGATCCGAATGTTTGAGTTCCATTGGCCTTTAGCTCATATGAGCTCGTGCATTTATTCATGGATCTACTTATACTTGAGGTAATATAAAAAAATCTTAAATTCAGCACAGTCAAGTAGAATATCAAATTTCCACGCCGTTAATAACTTAATAAGTTGTTATCGTCAAAATTACCAAGTTACCCTTGCCGTAAAACCATGGAAGTAACAAAGAGTTTTGATGAATTAAGCTATCCTAGGTATCAAGAAGCCTAGAACTAAAATATGTGTATTTTTGGGTTTTGAAAGAGTTTCGATGAGTTTTAACCTAGCCAAACTTTTCACTTGATGAAAGTTTTGAAAAGTGTTTTAAAAGAGTTTTCTTTTTCTTTTTCTTTTTTTTTTTTTTTAATGCTTTTAGAAAAACCTAGGATTATAAGCTAGCTTGGATGGCGTAATGGCTAAGGGTTATGGTTTTAGGAATTTAAATACTGTGTGATTTTATGTGGATTTTGAAAAATCATTACTTCGAAGCGTATTTGGCTAATCCACACATTAGTTCACATGTTTTGTGCGATATGTCATAGTAATAGCTTAATTTCTAATACTAGGGTTACACGACAACCCACAAGAGTTTTGTGATTATAACTTCGGCATTATATTGGCATGACCCAAAATATGTATGCTCATGAATTTTTGAAAAACAATTGTTTAAAAAAATGATTTTAAAGTTCATTTGTTTTTAAGCATGAATGCACAAACAAGTAGAAAAAAAGGTTTGCATAAACAAAATAAAAATAAAAAAATAAAAAAACTTAAGAAAGGTTCTATGGTTTTGAAGCTAGCCTAAGGGAACTCATCTCCATTCTAACCACTCTGGATATGTACTCTGGATATCTTCAATTGCTAGAATGACGACGGGAGTAGAGTTTATACTCTGGATATGTCGTCTGGATATCTTCAATTGCTAGAATGACGACGAGAGTTTATATAGGCACACAACATCAGAACTTTACCTTTTGAATAATTAACTTGTCTTTTAATTTTAAGAGACTAGAAGACAATAATTTTCTGTCGTTTGCTTGAAGGCTTATAAAGAGAGGTTGGTAGGGTTTCTTGTGATCTAAGTATTCTAATTGATGCTAATTGTTATCTAGGGGTGAGGGAGACCTATTTCGATAGAGTTTTTGGACTTGCGGGGCTAGAAAAGTTGTTTTTAGAAAGTTTTGGGGGCCTTGTGCGAATTGGGGGAAAAGGAGAGACATGTTTTTTTTCAAATTTCAATGGTTTTTTTCCTTTTCGTTTTTTTTTTTCCCAACACCTTTTTAAGTGCAATTTTGGAAGATTTGGGGGCTTCGCATCTACAACCGACAACCGTGACACCCGTATTATCCCCCCTCCCCCTTGAATTCAATAAAAATACATAAAAATAAAAATAAAAAAAATTCCAAAGAAAGATGAAGTTTACTACACCTTTTTATTTATATATATTTTTGGTGACTTACATCATGTGGATTGATATGAAAATAAATTCTTAAGCAGTAATATTGCTAAATCTCACAATATCGGGAAAATATCCAAATTCTTAAGCAATTTTTTTTTTTTTTTTCAATAACCAGGGTAGTAGAAACTTTGCCTCGACTAATTCACAAAACTTGTGCAAGGCATCCCCTCCACACCCATACGGATCAGGTAAAGATAGGACTATGTTTACGGACATGACCCCAAAAGAATTGTTTATACATGAGACACCACAGCTCAAGATTTTTTTAACTAGACGGACTCCTTGAGATTATAACTCATCATTTTGTCTACGTAGAATTAACATTTATTGTATTCTTATGTGTCACAATTATTCAAACCCTTTTCTAATAACTAATATATATAATTAAAAAAATGATATGATCCATTAAGAAAAATGAATATATAATTTCTCATCTGGAAAAAACAGAGAGAGAAAAAGAAATCGAGTATATAATCTGCCGTGATAAACAGTGTGGTGGACAGTGGGCGACTCAAGTCATGCATGCTTATGGCATTGGGCCTTGAGAAATAATTAGTCTATCCAACTTTGCATCCACCGTGCCTTCTTCTATGTTTTCTTTACAGCTCGATTTCCAAACTCATTGGTCCCCATACCACTTAGTGAACCTTCTTGTGCATTCTAAGAGAAGTCAGTGCTATAAACTTTGATGATCCATCACATGAATTGGCCCGGTTCTACAATGAGATGTATGCACAATCTATTTCATTCAATCGATCAAGTTGCACCTTCTCTCTTTCGTCAAAGAAGAGGCGAAAATTTCGAATTTCGTAATGAGTAATTTGTGAAATGTAAGAATGAACAAGTTCACAGAAAAAAAACAATTTACACAACTTTTCAAAATATTTCACTTTAAAAATAAAAAATAAAAATATAATCCTGATACAAATCTACGCAAAGGATGAAGTCCATCGGGTGCTTTCTTAAGACATGATACTCTTTAATTGTTTTACCTGATAGTGTTTTTTTATTTCTAAATTAGGGTTGTGAACATTAAGATAGTGTTGTACTTGTTTAAAAGAAATAATAGATAACTTCTGGCATTATAAAAGTAAATTTCTATGCAGCCCAAGTTGAAGATTGAGATTATTATTATTATTATTTTTCAATCATTCTACCCTCTAGATTTTTTTTTTTGAGAAAATGATATGAGAACCGAACCAAACAACCGAATAAGAAGTCGAACTTAATGTGGCTTAACCACGTCAGATTATTTCCTAAAAGCATAAACGCGCGTGTGAGATACCTCTTCGTTTCTCTCTCCTCGCTTCCTCTAATTCTAGGTTTTTCTTCTCTATTCAATCTTTATCTCAATTGATTCTGGTTTTGTGTCTCTCCTTTTGATTTTGCAAAATTGAAGATAAAAAAAAAAATTTTAAATTTCAATGTTTTGCCAATACAGAAGGTACAAAATCAAAAAACTACAACTATTGTTTCTGTCCTTTAAATTTTGTATCCATGAAAATCAAACTAAAACTTTGCTATGTGTATACGTTCTATCCAAACGTTTGGACTAGTCTCAAACTAGAATTAATCTGGAGAAATTTGACCACTAGATTTTGAGAAAGAGGATAGATAAGAAGAATTGATGAAGAAGAGGAAAGAGAAACGAATAGGAAGAGAGAGAAAAAGGAGTTAGCGTCTTACACGTAATAAAATTGTCTGACATGACTATATATAGCCACGTCAAGTTCGGTATTTTTTTCGGTAGAAATTTTCGATTTCTCTATCACTGCTCTTTATATATATATATATATATATATATATATATATATATTGAATATGACGTATACCAAATTGTCTCTCTCTCCCTCTCACTTTCTCTTTTTTTATTTTATTTTATTTTATTTTTTATCTTTTTTCTTTTCTGATGCCTTGCCTGGAAGAAAAGAAGGAAAAAAAAAAAAAAAAAAAAAAAAAAAAACAAAGAAAGAAAAAGAAAACACCAGTGGAGACAAAAGTTAGACTTTACCTTTAAAAAAAAAAAAATTCTTCAGCCATGTTTAGAATATTGAGTGATGCTCCTAAGAGACCTTATTATGAGAAGCGTCAGGAACTCTCCTATTTTTTTTTTTTAACTTAGATGCATTAAATAATTTATTTGAGTTTTCACAATTTAAAAAAATTGTTTCATTCAATGATTAAATAAGGAGAACTCATAACTCTTTTCATGAGAGAGACCTCTTAGAACCATTACTCCATAATATTATTGTATTTGGGGTAAAAAAGAGAGAAAAGATAATACATGTTGAGTAGAAATTGTTAAAAAACAAGAGATCCAGACCATGTTGTTGGAGATGACCAAACCTTTTGAAATGTGAAAATAATGAAACACTGATGTGAATTCTTGAATTTGATAACCCAAATAATTGTATAGAACTTCTGAAATTTGATATCAACTTTTGCAACTTGATAATTGATAACCCAAACAAAATAGACTTCCAAAAGGTGCAAATCAAATATGAGTGACAAATGTGTAGCACCACTATTTATAGACTTTCAAAAGTTAAAAAAATCAAAAGTCAGGTACCATTTAAGTGGTTTTAAATGTCAACATGAGCTGTATTTCCTTATATATTTATGTAAATTCTCCCAAATTGATTTGTTAATTGATTGTTATAATCAGGATAGTTGATCGATATATTGTAACTTATTTATTCTTGTTAGATTATAAGGGTTAGGGTTTTCACCTTGTATAGCCGTCGGCTCACCTACCCTCTATTTCCATGTATAGATTTGCTTGGGCAACACTCACTCACCTACCTCCCATCTTCACTTATATAGACCCCATCTGTGGTTGTATATTTTGATTCAATATAGTAATACAATACATTGTATCCTCTCATTCTCTCTATTTCTAACATGGTATCAGAGCAACTCTAAGAATTTTTTTTTTCTTCTTCTTCGTATTCCGTATTCCGAATTTCGTATTTTGAATTTTATTCTTGTTTGTTAGTCTAAATGGTGATTACTTCAGGCACAATTACCGTGCCAACCCCTACTCCGGCACCGCAGATCATAGTCCACCAAGACAATTCTACATTTCCAACTAGAATTATACTGGATGAGACTAATTACTCATTATGGTCTCAACTCGTGGAGATCCAGGTTGGTGCTGGTATCAAGGCTGGGTATCTCACCGGAGAAGTGACAAAACCCGCACCTGGAAATCCAAAATTGGAGGCATGGATAACCGAAAATCATCGAGGCAAGAGTTGGCTTATTGGCTCGATGAACCCATTATTGATGCAGCGATTTATTCATCTTCCCATGGCTAAGGAGATATGGGAGGCGGTGTCTAAAACCTTCTATGACGGATCGGATGAAACATGTATTTTTTAATTGAATCATAAGTCTTTTTCTACCAAGCAGAATGGCCGCCCTCTATCAACATACTAGAATGAACTTGTTGCTATTTTTCAGGAGATTGATCATAGGACTATGTCACAGGCAACAACAGTTGAATGAGTGGTTCGGTTGCATTCGGCCATGGCGAGGCTTCGAGTTCATATTTTTATAAGCGGACTTGACTCTGAGTTTGAACAGGTTCGTGGAGAAATCTTGTGAAAATCCAAAGCTTGACCTCGAGAAGCTGTATGCATATGCCCGGAGAGAGTATCAGCAGAAGTAGATAATGGGAGGATCTCATCCAATCTCTGAGAGCTCGGCGATGATGGCTAACCAAACTCGACAAGGACCATCATCGGGCCTTTAAAAAATCGAAGTAATCAGGCTACTGGAAAATCTAGAGGGCGAGTATGTACTCATTGTGGTGAATCGGGCCATTCGAAACAACGATGCTATGAGATTATTGACTATCCTGACTGGTGGGATTTTATAAAGAAGACTCAAAAAAATATTGGTGGAAAAGCCATGGTGACTTCTACGGAAGAGGAATAGGTGCAACCAATGGCAAATGTTGTTTACCCAGGTATACTTGGTAAAGCATCTGTACTCTGTGTGACTTCCAAGAATAGTGCTTGGAATATTGATACAGGTGCATCGGATCATATGACTAGGGACTTTTATCAGTGAAAATCTCTTAACCCTCCTTCTCAATCAATTATTTCCACAGCTAATGGTAGTACCTCTTTTATTACTAGGGAGGGGTCTGTTACTTTGTCCGATTCTATCACTTTAGATACTGTTCTTGTTATTCCATCCCTTGAATATAACCTTCTTTCTATTAGCCAAATTACCTCTACCCTTGCATGTTCTGTAACTTTTTAGCCTTCCTTTTGTGTTTTTCAGGACATTCTAATCCGAAAGATTCTTGGTTATGGTGTTAGACGGGGCAAACTTTATTATTTGGAGTTGACGGAAAAAGGGGGGTCAAAGTTCACTCAAACGAATCAAACAAGTATTGAAGATAAAGCTTGAGCAATCGTATGGTTATGGCACCAAAGACTAGGGCATCTTTCTTTTGGTTATCTTAAGAAGTTACAACCGCATTTGTTTTCGTGTTTAAGTGATTTATACTTTCACTATGAAATTTGTGAACGGCCAAGAGCCATTGTATTTCTTATTTACCAAATTTGAATAAAAGTTCAGAACCTTTTACGGTTATTCACTCGAATATTTGGGGTCCTGAAAAAATTCCTTCACTTTATAATGCTCATTATTTTGTTTCATTTATTGATGAATGTACTCGAATGACCTTGATATCTCTTCTTTAAAGTAAGAGTGATGTAGGTACAGCATTTCAGGAATTTCATAATATGGTGAGAACTCAATACCAAAGGCAGATTTACACACTTCAATCTGACAATGGTAAAGAGTTTGTGGATAAGATTTTAGGTGTTTTCTTGGGCCACCATGGAATCCGACATCAAACCTCCTGCACCTATACTCTCCATAACAAAACGGACTGACAAAGAGAAAGAATAGACAGATTATAGAAATAGTTCAGGCCTCCCTCTTTAGCATGAATATGCTAAAGTTTTATTGGGGTGAGGTAGTGAAATCGGCTGCCTAATTAATCAACTGAACACCATCTAGTGTGGTAGAGTTCCAAACTCCCTAACAAAAGATGCAATCATTGTTTTCCGTTCCTCATCTCCCGAATATTGAACCACGAGTATTTGGATGTACGGTCTATCTTAACGTGCCTAAAGTCCTGCAGAGTAAACTTTATCCATGTGTGAAACGGTGTGTCTTTGTAGGTTATTCGGAGTTTCAGAAGGGATATCGGTGTTATGATCCTCAAACTCGGAAGTTACAAGTAACCTTGATGCTTCACTTCGTGAATTAGAACCATGCTATCCAAAGGGAGTTTCTGGGTCTTCTCTTCAGGGAGAGAGTCATAGTGAAGAGAATAAAGATGGTGGAAAGGAATTATTCGAATTGGAGGAAAATGGGGAATGTTTTGAAGTTTTTGAGGAAACAGGCCCGAGCGCTGCGACCCCCACTAGTCAAGACCGCGGCGCTGACATGGAATTGTGCACAAATCCATGTTTTTCCAACAATGACCCCCTTCGTTTCCAGAGTTACCCACGTTTATACCATTAACTGAAGGATCAACCCAGAATGTTCTTCCTCGGGTAACCTCGAATCCCATTCTTAATGAACCTAATGAATTTCCTATCCATGCAGAAGATGTAACCAATAAATATCCACAGAGGTCAAATAGGGGAGTACCGAAGAAACATTATGAACCCGATCCCAAAGCCAAGACTAAGTACCCAATTAGTAATTATGTTTCCCCCCATAGGTTGTCAGAATCATATGCATTTTTTGTTAATTAATTGTCCACTGTGTCTATTTCTAGTAGTGTGCAGGATGCATTGGTAGATCTAAAGTGGACTAGGGCAATGAATGAAGAAATATCGGCTCTTCAGAGGAATAACACTTGGGAACTTTGTCCATTACCGAAAAAAAAAAAAAGACGATTGGGTGTAGATGGGTATTCACAGTGAAACTCAAGGCTGATGGCAGTATTGATAGGTATAAAGCGATGTTAGTTACGAAGGGATATACACAGAAGTACGGAATGGATTATCACGAGACTTTTGCTCCTGTTGCTAAAATTAATACTATCTGTATTCTTATATCCATAGTAGAAAATTGAGATTGGCCTTTGCAACAATTCGACGTTAAAATGCTTTCCTCAATGAAGATTTAGAGGAAGAAGTCTACATGTAGTTACCCCCTGGAGCTAAACGCAAATTCTCATATATAACTGAAGTATGTAAATTGAAGAAGGTGTTGTATGGTCTAAAACAGTCACCCTAGGCTTGGTTCGCAAGGTCACAATGAAGGAATACATGTTTGTGGAAGGTAATCTTGTCACTTGGAGAAACAAGAAGCAGAAGGTGGTTTCTAGATCAAGTGTGAAAGCTGAATTCTGAGGTATGGCTTATAATGTGTGTGAATTGCTATGTGTCAAACATGTATTACAAGATTTGGGGATTGATTATAAAAAACCGATGAGTTTACATTGTGATAATAAGGCAACCATTGAAATTGCACATAATCTGGTTCAACATGGCCGTACAAAACATGTTGAAGTTGATCGTCATTTTATTAAAGAGAATCTTGATCAAAAAGTTATACAAATTTCGTTTGTTCGGTCCGAACATCAGTTGGCTAACGTACTCACGAAGGCAGTTTCAGGAAGGGCGTTCCATGGTGTAATTAGCAAGTTGGGCATGATAGATATCTATGCTCCAACTTAAGTGGGAATGTCAGCATGAGTTGTATTTCCTAATGTATTTATGTAAATTCTCCTAAATTGATTTGATAATTAATTGTTATAATTAGGATAGTTGACCGATATATTGTAATTTATTTCTTCTTATTAGATTATTAGGGTTAGGTTTTCACCTTATATAGCTGTCGACTCACCTACCCTCTATTTCCATGTATAGATTTGATTGGGCAACACTCACTCACCAACCTCCCATCCTCACTTATATGAACCCCATCCATGGTTGTATATATATTTTGATTCAATATAGTAATACAATACATTGTATTATCTCATTCTCTCTATTTCTAACAATAACCTCTTCAGATTAAAATTTAACAAGCAAATTCTAGAAGTATGGTAGTTTTACCATCTGAAAAGTTGAAACTTGCAACTATTCCGATCAAAATTTAACAGGCACATTCTAGAAGCATACATGATAGTAATTATCGTTGTTTCTGTATCTCACATATATCATGTGTGTGTATATATATATATTCAACAGAAATAAGTGTAGAAATTAACTTCACAATAAAAACAGTGTATAAAATTATCTTTCCCAATTTGTTATGTTATCTTTGTATTTTATATGAATTTTAATTGGAACCTCATAGAGAATTGAAAATTTTTCAAATAGTTAGCAATATTTCAAAGCAATGCTATATATTTAACTAGTATGGTGCAAGTGATTGAGATTTCTAAATATTCAACTGGTACACTAGGAGAAAAACTATCCTTGTATGTTCACTCTCCAAAGAATCAACAAACTATTTTGATTAATTCCATAAAAAAGTGAAAATCATAGAGTAATAAATTATCAGTGGCCAATTACAGTTTTGAGCACAAAAAATAGGGAATTTTTGTGCCTATTTGCAAGTAATATTGGAGCATTACGCATAACCCAATTGGTAGAACGTTCAACTCCCGCTTGAATAACATTTTTAACATCGTTTTTACATTTTTCACATTTGAATGGACTGAATAAGAATCTAAGATAATCTAAACAAACACTAGGTAGATGAAGACTATGTTTGGTTTATTTTTCTTTTTTCAAAGAATTAAAAATTTAAAAATAATTCATAAACTTGTTTAGTTGTAGTTTGTTAAAAATTATTTTTCGAAAGCTTGTTTAAAAAAGCTGTTTATTGTCTTTTTATTTTGCTGAACCAACCGACCCTTGTTTTATTTTTATTTTTCCTTTGGAATACATTTATCGGTCCCACAATACAAGCGTCATTTAAATCAGAAGTGCGGTTCGAAAACGAGACCTCAAGGACTTACCTCCTGAATCCCTTACTTCCTGAATCCCTGTTAACGCCGCTATGTTCCTAGATGCCAACCCACCCTTATTAAATAGAGTCCAAAATATTAATTGATATTATTGACACAAAAACAATTATATTCAAACTTAAAATTATATCGTGACGTTTTGCAATTCAAATTTCATCATTACATCAAATCATTTTATCATCACGCCAAACATTTCATTCTAAGCAAATCTTACAAAATAAGGAGTTGACCAAATCCCCCACCCATTTTTTATTTATTTTTCCTTTTCTAATTCTTTGCACAGTAATTAAAAATAATGCAATTGAAAAATCATATAAGAATTTAAATATTCTTTGGTTTGGTTTTTTAATTTAAGATAATTAAAAATTAAAAAAATTATACAAAAATATGTTTAGTTGACAATTTTTCAAAACTACTTTCTAAAACTTCAGTTAAAAAAAATATATGCTTACTAATAATAATATTTTGTAATATTTTAAAAATAATCTTAGATTTTAAGAAATCACGAAAGCAGAACCAAACATGCTTGAGATTCTTAAAAAGGGAAAAGAAAAAAGATAATAACTTTACACCATTTTCACTTTAACAAACTTGAATGTTATTAGAAAAGGCGACTTAAACTACTCCTAAGAGCAACTCCAATGCTCTCTCATTTT